AAATATAAAATGAGTAAATAAGCAAAAGTTTGCAGAGAGAGGGAGGGAGAGAGAGAGAGAGAGAGAGAGCATATGGTAAGCCTACCTAACCAGGCCGGTGGTAGCCGTGGGTCGTTGAGCATCATTAGAGGTGAAGCTGAATAGAGCCAAACCCAGGGAACGCCCGAATAGACGATATACGGAGAGCTGATATAAGTGTCCACAACTATTACATCGGGTCTCAATCTACCGATAATTTCCCGAAACAAGGGTTCCCTGGCCCGCAACTTACTGCACAGTCGATCGGCAAAAACTTTTACGTACATTTCCACCACATTTATGGCACTCGTCTTAAACACCTCCAGGTTTCTAACCACAAAATTATTTTCACCCTGATTTGCATCAACACCCGGAGTGGGCAACTGTCCCTCAGCGGTCACAGTCAAAAGTTCCACTTCATAGCCCGATGCGTGTAGTTTTGGTGCAAACTTGGCGGCCACCGCGAAGATAGCCCGATGGCCGCGCTCTCGGAGACCGTCGGCCATTCCCTGACAGGCGTTGATGTGTCCCCAGCCGTCGGTCGGCGCGAACAGCACTGTTAGCTTACGTTGACTGTCGTTAGACATACTTGTATTTGGTTTAAGAGGCGAAATAATTATTCTAAATGAATGAGGTATTTTCTATTTATATTTAAATGCACCTGGTTGGACCTCAACATAGTTAACATACTGTAATTAGCATTTGTCATATATTTAAAATAAACTTGTTATAAAATGTGATAATTACATTATCGAAATGGTGCTATGCCAGATTATTTATGTCATAAGTTAGTAGGTTTATTGTATTAGCATAAGTACTGCTTTGGTAAAGCATTGGATATTGTTGAAAATGTCACATGGATTTGATATCATTATGAATGGTATCATTGATCCGTTAAATATATTTCAGTGCAAATTAAGTGCACAATTGCTGATGAAATTAAAGTAAATAAAAAGTTGATAAACATGGCTAAATGTGATTTGAAGTTTTTGAATCTCATGAACATTTAACATGATTTTATACAGTAATATTGTGTATTTTTAAAAATATTTTAATACATGAAAATAAATAACTTTACTTTTTATTTCCAGATAACAGAAAACTTTGACATTTATTAAAATTAAGCAAAATACATTGGTATACAATTCTATGTTATTTTACAATGACATAAAATTAATTAATGTAATACCTGTATTTTGAAAATTGCTAATTGTAAATTAGTTATAAAAATTTTGCAGTATGTGAATTTGTATTTAAATACAAGCTCAATAGGATAAAATGCATTGTATAGGAAATAAAGTTATAATAATAAATGAGGCTAAATAATTACTTTCCTAATAAAATACCGGTAAAAACTTCAAATAAAATTTTAAAACAATTATAATTCATTGTTTAAAATAAAATTTATGTTAATTTGAGTTTTTATAAACAAATTTTTCAATGAGTTTAGCGATCACTTGCTTATCATTGCTTTCCCTAATCCTATCGCCAATTGATTTCATTCTTTGAGCCAAATCTGAATCGTTAACCAATTTGTCGATTGATGTCAACAATTCCTCTTCAGTGCAATGGAAAGGATTAAGTCTTAAGCCAAGACCCGTCTCCTGCAGGCGCTGTGCGTTGTCGTACTGATCCGCCCAAAGGGGTAATACAAGCATTGGTTTACCGAAATAGAAAGTCTCGGTCACAGTATTGTTGCCGCCGTGTGTTAGCACTAAATCAACTAATGGTATGACTGCTGTTTGCGGTAAAGTTTTTTGGCCCCACATATTGTTCGGTAATTCATACTTATCATGGAGGGGACCTTTCGCTACTATAAACCGGTGCTCAGATTTGGCCAAAATGGTGGTCAACCGAGTCATGAGCTCCAGATGTGAGCCACCGAACGAACCCATGGATAGGAGGATCAACTTTCCCGACCAATTGCAAAGACACTCCGGTATCTCAAACGTCTCGTCGGTTGTGCGGACAAAGCTGTCCACTCTATGCCAGTTGTGGGCCAATGGCTGCACTTTTTTATAGTCCAACTCTTCGGGAGTCATATAAATGTTGAGATACGGAGAGATTGGATGCAAATTACAATAAGATGTGCTCTTCAGGGGTGGAAAGCCTTCGGATTCGTACCATTCGTTCACTTTTTGGTAACACTTCTTGAAAACAACCTCTAATTGTGATCGATGTTTTAACCATTCACTGGTATTGCCTACAGTTGGTAGACCTAAACATTCATTTTATTAATATGTAATTTATTTATTTGTAAATAAATATAAAATGAGTAAATAAGCAAAAGTTTGCAGAGAGAGGGAGGGAGAGAGAGAGAGAGAGAGAGAGCAAGAATATGGTAACCTTACCTAACCAGGCCGGTGGTAGCCGTGAGTCGTTGAGCATCATTAGAGGTGAGGCTGAATAGAGCCAAACCCAGGGAACGCCCGAATAGACGATATACGGAGAGCTGACATAAGTGTCCACAACTATCACATCGGGTCTAAATCTACCGATAATCTCCCGAAACAAGGTATCTCTGGCCCGCAACGCACCGCAAAGTCGATCGCCAAACAATTTTACGTACATTTCCACCACATTTATGGCACTCGTCTTAAACACCTCCAGGTTTTCAGCAACAAAATTATTTTCACCTTGATTTGCAGCAGCACCCGGAGTGAGCACCTGTCCCTCGGCGGTCACAGTCAACAGTTCCACTTCATAGCCCGATGCTCGCAGTTTTGGTGCAAACTTGGCGGCCACCGCGAAGATAGCCCGATGGCCGCGCTCTCGGAGACCGTCGGCCATTCCCTGACAGGCGTTGATGTGTCCCCAGCCGTCGGTCGGCGCGAACAGCACTTTTAGCTTACGTTGACTTGCGTTAGACATACTTGTATTTGGTTTAAAAGGCTAAATGATTATTCTGAATGAATGAGGTATTCTCTATTTATATCGAAATGCACCTGGTTGGACCTCAACATAGTTAACATAATTAGCATTTGCAATAAATTTAAAATAAACTTGTTATCAAATGTGATAATTATATTATCAAAATGGTGTTATGCCAGATGATTAATGTCATAAGTTAGTAGTTGACTATGGTTAAGTTTATTGTATTAGCATAAGTACTGCTTTGGTGAAGCACTGGATATTGTGGAAAGTGTCACATGGATTTGATATCACTATAAGTATCATTGATCTATAGTTTTAAATATACAGTATTTTAGTGCAAATTATGTGTAAATAAAAAATTGATAAACATGGCTAAATGTGATTTGATGTTATGTCCATGAGATATTGTAATTATAAAGTTGTAATCAAAAAAATTATTTTAAAATCAATTTTATTTCCGATAAATCATATAATACTTATATAACTTAAATGAAACATAGTAAAAATTAATGTAATTTAGAATTTAATTAAATCAGTTACCTGAATGAATACAAATGTCAAAATAAAGTATTATGTTTAAATCATAAACATTTAAATTATAAATTCAAAAAATTGTATTTATTTATAAATCGCAATTATACATAAAAATGGTGTATGTAATATTAATACAACACGTTAATTCAATGGTCCATGTAGATAGGAAAATAAAAGTTCTAACTATCAAAATAAAGATATTCTAACTAATATAATAAGTGTTTCAATAAATAATATCGTTATCAGATAAAATTAAAATTAATTAAAAGTTTCTAAACTAATCATTTTATATGTTATAAACTAATCTCTGGTCTCCACTGAGATATACAGCGATTCCAGTGATTTCATCATTGGATGTATTTTGACAATTGGCGGCACTTTTGTGTCCTTATGGACGGCGAACCGGAAGCGACGCAACACATGAACTAACGCCAGCTTAGCCTCCATTAAGGCAAAGGACTTTCCCACACAAACCCGGGGACCGGCGCTGAACGGCATGAATGTAAACGGCTTTATATTGTGACTATTTTCGGGCAAAAACCTGTCGGGAATGAACTGATTGGCGTTGGGGTAGAACTCGTCGGAATGATCGATAGCATAGATGGGTATCTCTAGGGGTTGTCCGCGCGGGACCACAATCCCGGTGTCGCCCAACGGGAAATCGCGGCCCGGGATTCGCCTGAGTTTGACGGGCGCCGCGTGTAGTCGTAGTGTCTCATTGATGACCGCATCCATGAATGGCAATCGCGACAACTCGTCGTAACCGAGCTCTCCGTCCGCGTCCACAGCGCCGGCGATCTCTTCGTAGAGCCGGTCCTGCGCTTCGGGTTTGAGCGCCAACTCATACGTTATGAATGACAACAGGTTTGCCATTTGATCGAAGGCTGCCGTAAAGAAGATGAACCCCTGGGCGA